CGTAATTCAAATTATATAATGTAAATACAATTTAAACATAACAGTTGTTATGTAACACACGACATTATAGTTATATTATTGTTTGTCTTTTATATCGTATAAATAACAGAGCAATATAATAATATCATAATTCATTCTTATTGTATGAACAATGTAAAGTTATATAATTCTTATGTAAATAGCGAGTAACATCTGTTACATTAAATGTTACTTCTATGTTATATAAAAGCCATATTCTGTGTTTGCTGGGCAGTATCTGCCTGTACTATTGCTCGCGCTCGCCAGGCTGGCCAGGCAGGCGTAGTACGTAGCACCGCCGCGAGATGGACTCGTTTCTCGTAAGAAGAAAATGTTTCGAATCCCTATAAAGAGGCATATGCAGGCTGAGCTCGGCTCCTTGAGAGTTGAGGTTCATAATTTAATAAGAAAAACCTAATTGCTATCTCTTATTGTATTTTAAATATTGGTTTCTTAAGTGATACAAAATAGCGCGCTCGAACAAAATTTGATACGTATGTCCTCTTTTTTACAAAAAACAAAAAACAGTTTAGCAAACAAATTAAACAATTAAGCCTAAGTGGTACCACCTCTTATTTTTTAAAATTAAAACCTAAGTATTATTATACTTTAAATACTGATCTCTGACCTTTTTATACTTTAAATACCGATCTCTTAATTGACACATAATTAAAAAATAAAATTTAAGCAGTACCAACTTATTTTTACAAAATAAAAGTATTTCTACCTCTTTTAGTATTTTAAATTATAGATTTGATATCAATAAAAGGCGCCAAGTTATAATCCTATAAAAATTATGTTTTCTTACTTAAGTCATAAGTATATTACTTATATGAAAGATTTGATATCAATAAAAGGCGGCAAGTTATAATCCCAAAAAATTACGTTTCCTTACCTAAGTCATAAATATAAATAAAAAACAGTTGTACAAATTAAACAATTAAACCTAAGTGGTACCATCTCTTATTTTTTAAAATTAAAACCTAAGTACTATCTCTTTTTATACTTTAAATAGTGATCTCTTCATTGACACATAATTAAAAAATAAAAATTAAGCAGTATCATCTTATATGTCCTCCTTTTTTTAACAAAAAACAGTTGTACAAATTAAACAATTAAACCTAAGTGGTACCATCTCTTATTTTTTAGAATTAAAACCTAAGTACTATCTCTTTTTATACTTTAAATACTGATTTCTTAATTGACACATAATTAAAAAATAAAATTTAAGAAGTACCATCTTATTTTTACAAAATAAAAGTATTATTATCTCTTTTTGTATTTTAAATTTAAAAAAATAAAACCTAAGCGTTATCTCTTTTTATACTTTAAATACTGATCTCTTAAGTGACACATAATTAAAAATTAAAATTTAAGCAGTACTATCTTATTTTTACAAAATAAAAGTATTGTTGTCTCTTTTTGTATTTTAAATTCCGGTTTCTATTTAAAGGATATGTATATCATTTATTTTACAAAATAAAAGTATTACTATCTCCTTGTACTTTAAATGAAAGATTTGATATCAATAAAAGGCGCCAAGTCATAATCCCATAAAAATTACGTTTCCTTACTTAAGTCATAAATATATTACTTATATGAAAGATTTGATATCAATAAAAGGCGCCAAGTTATAATACCTAAGTCATAAGTAAATTACTTATGTGAAAGATTTGATATCAATAAAAGGCACCAAGTTATAATCCCATAAAAATTACGTTTCCTTACTTAAGTCATAAGTATATTACTTATCCATAAAAATTACATTTCCTTACTTAGGTCATAAGTGTATTACTTATATGAAAGATTTGAAATAATAAATGGCGCCAAGTTATAATCCCATAAAAATTACGTTTCCTTACTTAAGTCATAAGTAAAACATTTGATATCAATAAATTGCGCCAAGTTATAATCCCATAAAAATTACGTTTTCTTACTTTAGTCATAAGTACAAATTATAATCTCATAATTATATATTTTCTAAGAAAGTATAAAATCCTTAAATTGTGCTAATTACAGAGATAATATGAAGAGAATATCATATAAGTCTTAGGTGTCTACATTATCTACAAAATAAACTGTTGTACTTTGATAAAATATAACCCTACCCAGTAAACACAGATTAGTATAAGAAACGTATAAAAGCTTACAGAACCATACGCATATACGGTGTAAGAAACGTATTAGAAAAACGTATATAATCGGTGGACATGTCCACAACCCATCCCATTTTATATACGTATTTATAATCATATTTATAAACGTATT